CTCTTCTTGGCGGATTGCAGTTGTGTTTTTGAGAAGAAAAATCAGGGAAGATTCAATCTACAGGGAGAGATGCGCGCTATACTATGACATCTATGTATAGCAATTGGAATGGAGGCCGACCATATAAAAAGGCCAGTTGCAAGATTTGGTTTGTGGATCCAAGATCAGGATATCGTGTGGAGGTTTCAAGGGCTCTTAGCCATTGCAATGGCGTTGGTGTTCAGAGATCCTGGCAGCCCGAGTAGAGCATTCTAAAGTACACACACTACAAACATGAACCAGCATCACCCACGTCGGGTGGTGATTAGATGAAAACTACATAACCACTCTTTGGGTTGTGCTGGAACATGGAATTAGATGTTTGCCGCAGCATGGTTTCCTCCATGGGATGAGAATCCACAGAACAGATCACCTGAGCTAGGTCTCAGGGGTTTTGTTTCGAGTTCTCATGTTTTCAGGCTTTTGGACTGGAGATCCTTATGTTCCTTTGCTGACTGGCTCAGGTGTGGTATGTGGTACTGCTGGTACTCTACCTAGCCCCTCGCCTGCCAGTTGCAGGAGGAAACGCAGAACCTGAGAATCTGATCCCAGGTTGAGAGGTGGTTCACCCAGCATATGTTGTATCGTCCAACGTTTGACACCTCCAAACCGGTGCGAAAAGCAGGTGGCTGGCTGGACATGACACCTCACAGAGGCGAACTCTGTTAAACAACGATGTGTGGTGTTTTCACATCGTTTTACGGATTCAAAAGTTGTTTGGCATGTGATTGCAGGATGTTTGAAACAACCCCCAACAGATGAAACCGTTTTGATTCCTTCGGCAGATATACGGGGTTGTTTGGGAGGTGCTGTCGAGGAGTCGAGGGTCTCTATCTACCGCATCGCTTCGCTCAAGAATCGAAGCTTAAAGGATTCCCAGCTAGCCGATGAAACCACATGAAACCAACAAAACCCAGGATTCTGAGCGTTCCTAGCATAGCTGTCTTTGGATAGTCCTCGAATCAAGCGTGAAAACCACTGTATGAGATGGTCTGAAATTGGACCAGCCTGCTTCTTCATCACTTGTTGATCCAGTACTGAGAGTTGTCCGACGTATACCTGGTACATGGAAGTTTCCAGCGACCGGATGGTCCGGGTCGCCAATGTGAAGGATGTTTGGAAGTCAAGCACTTGTGTCATATACTTCTTCCCCGCTTCGGAAGATTTGTTCAGTCAGGGAGCTGGGGACCATCAAGGGAGGTGTCACATCAACCCATCGATCAGGAGTAGCAGTATCGAAATCCGCACCTATAGTCGTTGGAAATGACCCCGGTTGACAATTTTGTTTGGGAAGGGTGCCCAAACCACCATCCAGGTCAGTTCAGAAGGCTTCAAAGGCTCAACCAGGAGATCAGGGCGCCCCAAAAAAGGAGAGGTTTGGTCAGTGCCATGCGGAGCGGTCTATCCTAACCTCCGGTCGCATTCCGATGAATTTCCAAACATTTCCATTCACCCCAGTATCACCTCATACCACCTCATGTTACCTGATTTGCAGTGATGAAGTCTTTTTCTCGACCAGACTGAGGTTTGGCACGTGCAGCGGAGCCAATTTCGTCAAAGGCGCAGCTGCTGCTGGGCAAGAAGAAGGATCCAACTAACCTTGAACCTGGAGCAGTGCGGTTGATGGAAAACATCCTGCACCACCCCACCAGTGCAGCTGGCAAGGGTCATGAAGCAACCCCGCCCCGTCATTCAATGTTGGTGCCACGCGTTTGACTTGCGTAGGTGGTGCAGGATTTCGGCCAATGCAACTTGTTTTGTTCATTGTGTTTTTCTTTTGTCACTGTGGTGCTCCCAATTTTCAAAGAGGGAGAACGCGGGCCACAAGAATATTGTGCACACAGCAGGATTTTGGCCACCAACAGTGATTATCAGACTGGATGTTTGGTGCAACTGTTTGAAGTAATGTTTGTTCTCAAAGACGACAGAAGACGAAGGGCTCCAGAATGCTCCAGAAGCTTCTCTTGGTGGTTTGCTTCTCTTGCATCGAGGATGTAGTGGTAGTATCACAGCTTTGCATCCTGAAGAGTCTAGACTTGAGCCCTGCGTAGCATCAAACCATTGCGCCATGTGAGGAATCCAATATATAGTTTAAGTCTCACATGGGCTTGCAAAGATGCAGTTGAAGTGACGATGGATGCGGGTGTTCCAAGTAAAGAACCCAAGTGATCACTAGATAGCTGAAGGTCCTTTGTTAACTGAATGTTCATGAACCCATGTTTAGTTACGTTGTCGTGCAAATATCCAATTAATATATATTTGTTCAATATGTTTTGTTGCCCTTAGAAGTTTACAAACCTAACCTAGTGGTAACCTACCTGTAGCAGCGGGTTCCTTCCCATGAGAGCATTTCCATGTGCCGACCTGATTTTGTTTGTTCGGAAAACGACGCCCTAAGGCTGGCTTCAATCTCTGCAAGAGCCAATGTCCACAAGCCTATTGGTGGAAGGCACACCCCGGTGGAGACATAGCAGTGAGAAGAACGCAGACATAGCATCCCTAACGGCAAGCGACCAGAGGCGGCCTGGTGCCCCGAAAAAAAAAAAAAAAAAACACAGCATGGTGTCATGCAGACACTTCAGTCCCAGGTTTGCAGCGGCGCTTGACCAAAGTTGATTCTTGGAAAAGGATTTCTGTACGATAGGACTACGTGCGAACAAAGTTGGGAACTCCGGAGGTGGACCTCCACGCTCTTGTATGTTCTACTCCCCCTGCCCCGACCACGACACGTTCGTTGCCCCGGAATCGTCTCTTCAAATGGATGATTGTTTCCACCTAAACGCCTTTTTTCGGAATGTACTTTCCACACGGTTCATCAGCAGGGCTCAGCAGAAGTCAGTATACGCAGGATTCATCGTATTTGCCCCCCAAAGATGTTGAGTTTCATGATGTCTGGAGGCAAAACATGTCGATGACACAAGAAGTCCGACGAAATGTTACAGCAAAAACCATGTCATCGGGTCACATAGTCACACATAGTCATATACCATCTTTTTAAGAAAAAATGGTTGACTAGTCCTGCCTTCTTCGGTCCAGATGTTGTCCTGCCACTCCAGGCATCCCGGAGGTCGGTCGCACGGAGGAAAGCTTGGCGACTTGACCCAGTCGTGGTGAGTCGTTGGGTCGGTCCATCAGTCATGGTGGTGGGTGACCCCGGGAGACCTGTTCCCACCCAACATCGAACACAAGAGACTACATGAGGCGAATTACGCAGGTCAATCTATACCAGGCCCCCAGCTGAAACGGACCCACCAGCTGATAACAAGGTATCAGATACGGACCAGGTATCAAGGCTGCCGGGCAAGAGAGTCTTTCAACAGTTATGGGCACTATAGAGTATTCCAAATTCATGCGGCTTAAAAGGGTTCTGAATGTCTTCAAGTCTTGCACCTGTCGAGCACCCAATAGGTGGTCTCCACGCAGAAATCGACCTGTCGATTCAGTACTGGAACCAGCAATGAGGCCCTACATCTGTGCTACTGACTGAGGCCCACTTTTTCCATGAGATCTTCGGGAAGCCTGTGGTGAAAGCTGCCAGCTTCGTCCGAGACACCTCCTCGCTGGAGCCACTCTTGGAGGCGCTTGAAAAATGCATGGGCCATCCACTCAATTATGACCCCTGCAGAAAACAACATGGAAGACAAACATGTCCTCTACAACCCGACGTGGTTTTGGGGGTGGTCCTTTGCGGTCCTGTGCAGGAGGGTATTCCAATGGGTGATAAACGCTACGTATATATATATATAAATCAACAATTTATTCCACCTGAATCGAGGTGATGGCACCAAAATCCCAGCATCGCCCTGATGCGTGTTACTTTTTCTGGTCGCGAGGAGCGGTCTTTCTTTCGCGGCTCCACACGCAATTTTCAGATTGTTTGCTCGCTTTTTATTGGATTTTTACGTCCCTGCAATCGTTTTCTCGGATTCATCGACTAGTCCTCTTGGTGCACATGGGTTTCTACGGTGCACATCGTCCAGCTGCCAGGAGCGCAATGCGCTCTCAGAAGAGTTGGCTGAGAAGGACCCCACCTGTGGGAAGACGGGACCGGACTCTGGGCACCAGGGCTTTGTGGATGGCGTAAGCCAGTTCTGGTGCAGATTATTGAGGTTGCCAAGAGTTTATCGACGGTCTTCTGGAGTTGATCTGTCAAGACTTTTAATTATATACTATGTGTTTCTCCAGCCTGAGTGTCACCTGTGTGAAATCTTTAGGGGGACAAAAAGCAACAATGATCTTCACAAAGGGTATTACCTCCGGATAGGACTGCTTGTTCGCATCCCTACTGTATTTGATTCATATATAGGAAGAGGGTAAGACATTACTATTCATAGGGGACACTTGCCAAAATCATATGTCGACATGATGTGGTTGATGAGAAGCATTTACCCATAGGCTAGATAGTGGCTAGACCAATGGCCTACGAAGTGAATAAACAAACATGACAAAAGCACACTTGCCAAGACATTCCACATTTTGTGACAAGCCCCTAGGGATCCAGTCGTACTTTCTCAGAAGATGATTGGAGACTATTTATGTAGGCGCCAGGAGGGCCCAGTCGTACCGAACCTGAGGTTCGGTATGTGGATCCCTAGGGAGCCAGGAGATCCTTCATTTTACCCATATCCTTCACAAGCCAAGAGTTTGCCAAATGTTGATGGTTTCCGGGTGACCTGTTTTGCACCAAAATTGGTCTCCAACCAACCCAGATGTCCCTCAAACCTGGCGTGTGCCGCCGGCCGTGGCCGGCCATGGCCCTGGAAGGCGTGTGCGCCAGAGCACGCGGAGCACGTGACTCGGATGCTGCGCTGCTTTTCAAGGTCGTTTCAGCAGATGTTTTGGTTCAGGGAAGACCTCTCATCACATCCTGAAAGGCAGGAATAGTGGAGATACACTCCCTGGAACTAACATGGAAGTGGATGCCCATGGACCCGAAAGGAAGACCATGAAATCCACGAACCAAACAGGTGCCATCCATCCACGTAACCATGTGAATTTCAGGGAGAGTAAGTGGATCACGCACAGGAACCCTGCAAAACCTGTCGTGTTCTGTTCCTTTTTCCTCGATTTCTTCCCCCTTATTGAACGGCATGGCTACAGTGCGGCGGATCCTCCGGTCGGTGTTCCTGCGGACTGGTGCTTCGTTCAGAAACACGAAGGACATCCGCAAAGCAACTGGAAGAAACCAGCGATTCTAACATGAAAGTCAGATGTGTGTGCATTGCTTGACATATTCCGAGGAGGATGAACAAGTCCTTTGGTCCGAGAATTGAGGCCTTTGCACACCCCAAAAACCTCGGTACTTTGCTCAGAATCCATCCCATCCCACTGAATTGAATACAGCTTGGGGCCCTGCCTTTTGGTGCCTTTTCTGCTTCAATTGCAGACCACCACTCGACGGGGCCCGGCAGCAGGTCCAAAGGGTCGAAGAAACCAACGACCTCGATGAACCGACCATCCAGGACCACATCCGCCCGTCGGCTGGGTGAAGCCGGGAGAGTTCACCTGGTTTCAAGTGGTTTCCACCATGTGAGGTACCGCAAGAAAGCTCCGCAAAATCAAGACACCTCCGCGATTCAATCGTTTAACTCGTTGCACAGCGAGTTAACGTCGTCTAAGTCATTCTTCAGAGCCAACAAAATCTCGACAGTGACCGCATACAAATCCGGAGCTTTCCATTCTCTTTCCCCATCCTGTTCTGCGCCGCAAAGCGGCGCCTGTCAACACCGCACCCTTGAGGCAGTTGAGGTGGAAGCGCTTGAGCAGCGCTACAACATGGCGGCAAGGGAAGTGGAGCAGCTGGCAGAACAAATCTTCAGTCACTCGGCACCTGCTGCCATGGGTGAGACATCTCCCAGTGGACCTGGAGGAACTTCCTCCAGGTCCCGTGGGGTGAGACCTGGCGTTTGGAAGCTGCGCACTTGGTGTCATCACAACAGCCTTCCGACAGACTCTCTCAGTGAGGGGTCGGCCGTCCCCGTTCGCCCCGTTGAGGACGAAGGCGGTCGCACATCGGCCGGTAAACCGTCTGAAAACACCGGTGTTGCACGGTGCTGCTCGACCGGAGGCCATCGCTATTCCAGCTTGACCTGGACCCAACCTGGGAACATACTCCTGAAAATGGGGCCCCAGTCGTACCTGCTTGATGTCCAGATCACGTCCCATTTTCTAGGGTGGAGTGTTCAGGATCTTCACTTTCCCTTGCCGCAAAAAAGCCAACGCTGCAACACTTGCCAAGTACTCCCGGCACACATTGGGGTAGTTGAAAAGGGAGTCGAGTCAAAGGGTCGGCATATTTGGATCTTCCGACCATGCCAGCATGTTTGTCTTTTGACATGGCTAATCCATGATGTTCAATGGAATCAAAAGGCAAAACATGTTGCACTAGAAGCTAGCATCTAGAACATTCTAGAACCTCTTCTGAAGGGCAGAAGCAACAAGTAATCAACATCAAATCTCTTATTTTTCCATGATTTGCTCACAAACATGAGTCCCTGAACCCTCCGTCGTAGCAGAAAAAAGTGACAGAAGAAAACACTGCACATCATCAAAAAAAGCGTTCATGCCTTGAAAAAGCGTACCACTGAAAGTCAGGTGTAGCTTCATTCCACCTTGTGTGGTCTTCAAGTCCATTCCCCTGCCACATGCTGGCACCCATCCCATGCACACACAACACACGCTCACACACTACGAAGCGGCAGCCAGCAACCCCTTTCTTTGATCTTCAGTATCAACATAAAAGATTTACTTAAAAAACAATCCGCCACTTTTTAAAATTGCACCCGGGTTGCGGGAATTTGCGCCCAAGTTGCGGGCACGCTTAGTGGAAAAATTGTTGTAAAGCACGCCCAGAAGGTTAGAACCAAACCTTTGTGGTTTCATTTGCACATACTAGGAGAGGTCATATAGGATTTCCACCCGGTCCATAGGGCCCCCAAAGGCCCACAAGGGTTGATAAGGACACTGGTCAGGAACCAGTAGGCTTTAGAATTTACAACACCAAAAAGCGCTCATATGTCCTGAAAAGTGTACATACCCTCAATTAACGCTCAAACTTCCAATAAGTGCTCCAAACCACGGTTCGCCAGAAATAAGTGTTACAAAGGATGCTTCAGGTCTTCTAATTCTAAGCTCGGTCTTTGGGACCCTGAGCTGCTCATAAGTCCCGCTCCACCGACCCCCAAACGGCTCCACCGACCCCGCAGGTTCTCCCAGCTACGCCTCCGACGCGGCCTTCGTCACCTTCCGCGACCGGCGCCACGCGGAGTTCGCCCGGCGGCTGAAGTACAGCGAGAGCCGCTCGGGTGGATCCGGCCCCGTTCGTGGCGGAGACATCGGAACCCGAACAGGGATGGACCGGATGGATGAAGGGGGGCATGTACGACGAGGAGGTGTTCATTCTTGTTTGTTTGGTGACAGTTGTGAGGATGTTATGAAAGCGATGTTAGATTTTAGTGGTTTGATATGTTTGGATGTTTGATGATGGATGACGTGGCATGATGCATGATCGTTTGATTGCTGAGTATGGGTTCATGCTTTCTTTTGGACAGCAGATAGGACCTTCGGAAAGGAAGGCAACTTACACCATGTTGCACCTGCTAGGAAACAGATATGAAACAGATATACGCTGTCCCTTGCTGGAATTGAGCGTGATGTGTCACAGTTCAGTTCATTTTATCAATCATGTTGCAGCAGCACATTACAAGATATCGATCTCTATCATGGCTTGCCAAGTGAACTTGGCCATGCAAAAACCCAGGGTTTCGTGTGACTGTCCCTTTCACACATCGCACCGAACTTTACAGAATGATCTGTGGTTCTTGCACTCAACAGATCAACATTTGGAGATGGAATCTTAGAAGCTTCCTGTATACCTTAGGGCCCTAGGGCTTCATTGAACGCAACAACGCTCATTTAACGAAGCCAGAAGTCTTTCTTTTTAACACCGCGGGCGGCGTTGACGCACCATCCACCGGCCCAGCACCAAGCACCAAGCACCTCGCCTGCTGCAGATCCCAACGTCTATGCCGTCAGTATGGCGCCGGCGCCCTGGGATGTGAACTTCGGCAGCTTCAGTCAGGAGACCCGGAACACCTGGGAGAGGTAACCAGATGTAGCCAGTGACCGGGACCATAGAACCGGAACACCTGGTACCAGACTGGCTTGCGTATAGTAAAAGCATGTATCCTTCAGCCATTCCTGTGCAGGTATCTGAGAATCATGGGCCCAAAAGTTAGACAGCAATGGCATGGTCTCTTTGCACGCTTGCGGACAGTGTCGCGACACGGCGCGATGCGCAGCGACGCGGCGGCACCCGGAGCCGATCCGCTCCGTCGTTTTTTGCCGGAAGAAAGAACCGGCGCTGCAGCCTATGGTTCATTGGTACCTGCAATAGAAGCTTTGACTAACAAGTTGAAGGTAAATGAGTGTTCAGCTCAAGACATGGGAGAGCGAGCTCCTAGATGTTCCCAAGCGACCCCCTGGTGAGGGGGCTTCTCACTTCTGGTTTTGGGGATGTGGTACCATGGTGTGAGCTCCATCGAGAATGGCTGGACACTGAGTTGGAATCGACTCTTTGTTCATTGTTGTTCCTTTGGATATTGGTGCCCACAGGTCACTGCAGTGTCGCAGAGGGCCGTGTATTACATGAGCGAACGAGCGTTGGCCGCCTGTCTCTGGACCATTTTCACCCGAGCCCCACACAGACCCCACCCAAACCCCAAAACGAACGAGAGTGCCGCTGGGTTTTTTGACCCTGTTGCCTTCCCTCAGTCGACCTTGTTGCCTTGGGATGACATGTTCGACCTGTTCCAACTCATCATCGAGCATTTACCGACCTTCCTTTCATTCCACTTTCAGAGTCGGCCGCTCCAGCTTGAATCGAGTCCGTTCGTTCGTCTCTAGAGACCCCGTGTTCCATCTCGTCGCACCTTTCCAGGAGACGGCCAACCTCTCGAAAGGCAAAGCCCTTCTGGGTCGAATCTTGGCATCGTGGAAGCAAATGGCAAGCTTTGACATACGACTCGGCTTGTTCCACAGACGTTGTTTTATTCAGACTGCTTACTATATAATTGTGTTGCTAGCATTTGCTAGCAGATTTCATGTGTAATTCCAGGAATTCATGTGTCATCTCATATGTATACATCCAAGGAGAGCGAAGTGATGCAAGTTGCAAGAAACACATCCAGCTGTTTCAGCTGTTCAGGAAGATTGAGGAAGATGTCAACTTGGTTCCTTTATGGCTGGATGGATTGGCCGGTTGAATCTGAACTTGTATGAACTTGCCCAACAAGTCCGCAAGACTTTAACTGGATATTTGGCTGCCCTTCTGAAGTGAATTGCTCTACCCTGGATTGTGATCCCAGGTTGCGGCTGTGTTCTTCGGCTTTCTTCCAGTGGTGCTCTTTGGTTGCACCCAAGCCCGAGCAGAGCTCAGGACCAATTGCACCCTAAGCTGTTCGTTGGTCTCTCTAGTGCTGAAAGAAAGTCACTAAATCACAGCGAGGCAATCAAATGATCATGTCATTAGATATTTGTTTGTGCTTGTGTGTTTGAGTTTGACACTTGGTTTTATGTCGACTGTCTATGACTCTATGACAGCCTAGAATAGAGTATGATATGTATACAAAGCCCTCCATTTGCTCTGCTTGATTTGCAGGGCACATCATTTGCTTGATGAGCAACAGTGGCTACACCAGGCTGTACTGGTTATTGCTTTGCTCAACAATGCCCCCTCCTTGGTATCGGGCGCTCAACAACTGGAGTCAGCCCATTTGTACGGAGTCAGCCAAACATTTACGCCACATTTGCACGGTCCCATATGTTCCCTCTTGCAGACACACCTCGATTTCATCTTGGAACAGACCTGCAGAAATCACCAGAATTATATAGAATTATATTTACAGTACCCCAACACCAATGTAAGACTTCTTACCTTGTTTCATCGTCGGTGGTGACGGAGATGACGCTGGTGCCATCAAGGCTGACCCAACGTCTCCATAGAAAACGACCCAGTTCCACACATTGAAGCGTGTGATATCCTCAATATTGATCCTCAACCACTGGATGATTGGTGTTTTCCAACAGATCCATCCAGCTTCTTCACGAGGGAACTGGGAGCCTTCCGAGGATCGGTATCTCTTCGATGCTCTCGGTGGATTCCCTCTCACAGTTGCTTCCAGGCTTGAAGGACCGACCTGGGAGGCCGGAGCCCCCAGCGGACGTCCTGTGGACTGCCAATGGCGGCCAATGGATCCCATTCATCGTCCAGAGCCAGTTTTTCTCAGACACTTCCGCCCCCCTTTCAGCCACGGCGAGTCCGGTGTTCGCCGGAGTCCCGGAGCTTGCAGGAGTGGTCGATGGAGTACACCTACTTGACGGCCGCCTGGGAGGCCTTGTGCCTGGGACGTGACTGTGACGCTCGATCGACGCTCGCAGGGAGGTCGACCGTTTTTGAGGAGATCGTCGACTCCAGGGAGGTCTCAAAGGTCAAAAGATCGGGGGCGAGCTGACTAGCTTGCACCAGTCGAAGGCGCGGATCGAAGGGTTTGTTGGGCGCGTGGTGGCTTGCCAGCAGAGCGGAGAGCGCCACCTGGAGTCACGTTTCGTCAGAAAGTGGGTACAGTCCTACTGAGTGGTACATGTTTTAAAACCGAAGTTGGATCGAAGACGACCTGACATGTTCCCGTATCTCCTCGAGATCACTTGAAGGCAAAATGAAAAAACACACATGAAAAAGAGCTTGGTGTTCAGTGCGCCATTCGGGGACCAGCCAGCCAACCAAATTTGTTATTTTCCAATCGTTTATACCCACACCCATTCTTGAAAGGTCAGAAGTCGCGATCAAGCAATCAAGGTGGCAGCCCCGGCCATTCGGAACGTTTCGTTCCCCACCTTCTCGCAAGACTCGTAGACCACCGTCGCCGCCGTCCATACAGGACGACCGGACGACCATGGCATGTCTCTCAGGTGGGGCACAAGCCTTCTATCGATGCTCATGGACTTAGTTCCCTGGATCCTGCAAGTCGTCTTCCGTCGCTTCTATCGCCTCCGCAGTGGCGTGAAATGCCAACAGAAGATCCAGTGGCGCGGCACAAACAGAAACGCCGCTGTGCCAAACAGGGTGGGTTGGAGGGAAGTGGGTGGAGGAGGGGTCGCTCTTTGGGGCTCTAAAACGATGTCTCTCGATCGAGCTGGTTTCCGAGCGACTTCGGTGGTGGTTTCGAGTGCCAAGGGCATACAACATGAAGTCAAGCAAGCTGTTTCCCTGGGACCCGACGGCGGTTCGTACCCGAACGAACATGAGACATGGACACACCATTTGGTACGACTGTGACCCATTTTCTGAGGTACGAAATGAGACTTCTTGCAAGAGATTCACCACCCTCGGAGAATGCGTTACATCAATTGAAACTGAGCAAGCCAAGCCTGGCAGATGTTTGAAAGAAAGCGCTTTTTGCGCGAAAGCCCAGTCATGTATTATTTTGATTGATAAAAACCCTCCAAAAGAAGGGGTTTTGCAATCCAAACAGGACGGGGATATCAATTTGCAGATTCTACACTACTGCTGGTGCATGGGGTGACTTCGCTCACCTGGAATCTTCGTCCAACATCTGCTGCCGGACCTAAGGCGGTGGTATTTCACCTTCCTAGCGTCTCAGATGCGTGTCAAACGGGTGGGCGCTGGGAGTTCCAACTGGTGGTGCCGAAACGCGAGTTGCGCAAGTGGATCGAATGGCCGCTTTGCACGTCACAGTGGGTATTGAGAGATATTGAGAGACATCGTACCCCAGGTAAGAACTGCAAATCAAGTCCGTTGAAGAGCCTGGGTAGCCTGGGTCGGCCTGCAAAAACCCGTCAAACTCACGCAGCAAAGAGAAGGCAGAGGGCCCTGCAGGTTCTGCATGTTGATTGGTATCTCATGGTCAAATCAGTGTAATTATTATATGTATATATGAAACATTATGAAACCAAAAACATCCAAGGCCGTCTCAGGCATTCTTCTGATCTCCCACTTCTTATATATGTCTGAGTCCATCACACCAAAGAACAGCCAAATGCTTGACCCCTCCCACCCAAACCCCCTGATTCCAAAGACTAAAGCCATAGACCTCCATAGTCCCGGTTCCTCAAGAAAATGGTAATCTGCGTTTTTGGTCACAACTGTTTTCTGCTGGGTAGGGCCAAATAGCCCTTTTCCTGCCCAGAACACCAGCTCCTCTCATGCCTCGCGCCGGACCCGGTCCTCTCCTTAGACCCGGTCCCGACCGGAACTCCAATGCCCAGGTGGTCTTCGTCCTCCTGGTCACGGCGGTCGGCACGTCGCTCTTCGAGGCAGCCGCACGCTTCGCACAGGCACCCTTGCAGGCGCGGCCGAGGACCGAGGACCGCTCCGTCTCGGCCATCGGCGCGTCGTGTGAGACGCGGCGCGGCGCGAGAGAACGGCGACAGGTGCTGAGAGGGTTCATTGGCGTTGAGAAAGGAAAAGCGGCCTGTGATTCCTGGTGTTTGGGAGAAAAATGTCATGAGAGCGAATGAAATAGACCATGGTGCTCTTTATATGGATGTGTTCTGATATTTTTCTATTCATCACGCCATCACGCGGAACTTTGTTCATTCACCATAAATCAATCCAGGGGCCAAACGGCAGGGGTGCCTCAAGTGGCCACTGGCCGGTGTGAAGTCTTGAGTTGGACGACTTGGAAGCAGTGGTCAGAGACCGCTAGCTTGAGGTGTGAAGTACTGGGAGTTAGGATGAAGTAAACCCTAACGGCCCTAACAATCAATGTGTATATGGAAAAATTGCTTACATTGGGGGTGATTTGACGATGGTATAAGGGTCAAATGTAACTTCATTAATATCTAGGCTAGCATACATGGATGGTCTTGAAACGGGACGGCCTCAAGGTCCACAGCCGGCTTAAACCTCACTTCACACGAACCCAGAGAAGCACCCCAGTCGATCCGACTGACGCTTTCCGTCGCTCCGACCTCCTCGCCCCAGAAGGACTCGCTCGATGGACGCATCGAGGTCCGACGCACCACCCAAACCACACCGGCCAGGTCTGGCGCTTGCTGGCCATTCAGCTACCACACGCCACCAACTTCTACCTCCGCTACGCCGTGCTGTTGTGGGCGGCCCCCTTCTTCGACTTGCTCCGAGGTTCCCTTGACCTGGAGGACATCGAACGACGGACCTGACCTGACCTGACCTTCATACGTGGCGCGAGAGACTGACCACCGTATCGCCAGTCGACTCGCAGTCGTGTGGGGAGTGGAGTGATGAATGAAAGGCATGTGGTATACAGAGAGAGTGCCCTTGGTTTTCGCTGCCAATCCCTGGCGTTTGGGCCTGACCACGGTTCTTCTGGCCTCGTTTGGACCTGTCACGTTCAAACGAACGTCTATTCCGTACATGCAGGGGCTGCAGGCAGACGGGTGCCGGGTGTCTTGGTTTATCTTTGTTGTTTCACCTGTGGTGGGGGGGAAAACCGCTCCATCCACATCTCACTCGTGGAAGCGGGAGTGTGAGAGGTATACCATGCATTGTTCTACCCTGTTCTTCTAAGTGTCGATGTATCCGCAAGAAGTCCAAAGACGATTTGTTGCGCCACCGAAGTAAAGGAAATCCCCTTGTTCTTCATCACCTATAAGTCAGACCATTGTTAACATGGTCGACCGGACTCCCATCTTTAAAACCCTTTGATTGGCCTCAAAACGCTCGCTCCAAGCTACGCCGCGAGCCGCGAGGTTTGCCGCTGCTACGCTTTTGGCGAGCCGTGCAAGCCGGAGAGTGTCCTGCCCATTTGGTGGGTTCCGCTTTGGATGAGTCGAGGGATCAGTTGAGGTGACGGCTCCAGACGCAGCAGTTGTAAATGTTGTTGGCGGGGAATTAAATTTTGGATCAGAGAAGGATCAGTCTTCAGGACGATTTCCGTGGGAAGCGAGCTTTGCAAACTTTTGAATTCATGAAACACCTGCTCGATTTGACCAATCAGTCACAAAATGTCATGAGTCCTTTATTCCACAGACAAGCTTGCGCTAGAAAACATCCATTGGCACCTAACTTATCACTGATGCCATCTTCCTGAGGCCTGTCAGCACTGCTAGGCAGATGGCAGAGCCGGAGGCCGCATTATCGACTCCTTGCAGTTCCAAACAGATTCTTCAGCTGTACCAAGAGAGGTTAGGTGACCATAAGTAGGACCCGTCACCCGGGGTGTCGAACTAGGGTTCATCAACCACTCTGTTGGTAGACTTGGACTCCAAGTTTCCAAGCTTTCTTGTACCCTGAAAGCCTCACTCGTGCGACACTCGTGCGAGCCGTGCAACACAAGGGATCTGCAGGGTTCGTTTTGTCTCGTACATAATGACATGTACACATTCAATTCCGGGACCATCCTGTCTGGGTGTCTAAAATGGACTGGGGATCTCCATTGGACACCCAGATGTTCGGATGGTCCAGGATTGTGTTCATTAACATGTGCTGATGGAGGGCCCAGTCGTACCTTCTCATGTAGGCTTGGAGGACCCAGTCGTACCGAACCTGAGAAGGTGTAGGATTTCTGGCCGAAACCACACCCCATTTCGACCGGCCGCTGGATACCGCAGGACCAGGCGTTTCATGGTTCGGGCGCACGCAGTGCCCGTTGGTCGCTGCACGTGGTGATGGGTCTCACGCTTTGTAGCCACTCGGAGTCTTCGGTGTCATGGGTTTTTCACCCGTGACCTTTCGGACCGACGTCGGCGGCATGGAGAACCCACAAAAGACGGAGTCTTCCCAGACCACCAGGGTGGTTTCTCTACATCAAAGTGTCCACCTTTCCATGTCAGTGATGCCTTTCTTCTTTTGTCCTGGTTTTGCTTCAGGTATCTTCAGGTTATTGTATGGTGATTTTGTTAATTGTATATTTTCCCTATGGGCAAAATTCCGTTTCTGGTGAATATCTTCTATTCTTTCCAGGTTCTGAAACAAGCAAATCCAAGTTGTGCTTCGTGACTTCGAAACCGCCCCCCTCTTGGTGAAGACAGCGGAACCCCCATGTGGCGGTTTCGCTCGTTCTGCGGAGACACTGGAGACACTGAACTAACGCGGTCGACCGCGGAACTCCGTGTGCACCGAGAGTTCTCCGCACGGTTCGGCACCGTGGGATTCGACGGCTGGGAAAGCGCCATGGCTTTCGCCCAATTCGTCAGATGTTCAGGACACCTCCGACACTGGAGACGGTGTGTGTCCCAATAACGCCAATAAAGTGTCGGCAAAAGGATGATCACTCTTTTTGAGATGGAAAGGCCTGTACTAAGGTTACAGTTACAGGCCCCATCATCATCCAGGGCCCTGGAAGATTGGGATCTACCATGATCTATACCAGGCCGGTACATCAGGCTCACAAGTTCCATCCGGATGCCTCAGGACATCCACAACCCCATGGCCCATGCTGATCATTCCGACATGGAACTGCTGGAACTAACAGGTGAAATGAGATGACACACATGTCCAAGTTGGGTGGTTGTGGTTAACATTTATCTTGACTTTTGCAGCTAAAAGACATCTTGGGTGCCAGACGCTGCCAGTGCCATTTGCTCAAACTCATGTTTTACATGTATATTAAATGGATACTTATTATTGTTAATATATCTTTCTTTTTGTCCAACATATTGGGGCGTCCCTGGCTACCACACTGCAGGTACTTATACCAATTCACGTACAGCATCGGATCGTAGAAAGGTCAGCGGTAGAGCAGTGTGTTGCTCGAGCTCTTGGGTGACACAGGGTCTGACGTTTGTAGCGGCATCCGTAGGCCACGAGCCACTATTTCTGATGTCTCGTTGTTTCCATCGAAGGTCCAAGCAGCACAGGCGCTCTGAAGCACCGAATAGTTCAGGCGTTCGACCTTGCACGTTCGACTGGACAATTCTGAACAAAAAACAGGTTGGTGTTCCGAGTGACCGTTCACCAGGGTAATTAGACTCATTACTCTATCTTACTCTCAAGGCCATGCCCTTCCAAGGCTTGCAGCCCTTCGTCCCGGTGGTCCTGGGCTTTGGCTTCCTATGTCGGCGCTTGGTCTTTGGGTTTCTTATGGCCTCTTGACAGGTGAAAACTAAGGAACCAGTCAAGCGCGTTTCATGGGAGATGGGTATCCAATCATTTCAGGGGAGAGTTCCCAGCAAATCGGTTGCCATTCCTTGAGTGAGGGCAGGGGTCCAGCATCTTCTCTTTGTTTGATGCTCTTTTCCGATCCTTTTTGTTATTGATTTCCATTAATGTTCGATTTGGTTTCGCTATGATATCATCCATCCAGGAGGTGAACCAAGACGAAATGAATCCATCCGATCAGGAGCTAATCAATATAGCTATGCGCTATAGGATTATAGGGAACCCGGAGGCAACCTTCATCAACCTTCCGGAACGACCGTTCGGCGCCCGCCTTCGTCACCCTTCAACGGCAAACGACCGAGGTGTTCGTGGAGACGAAGAAGTCGGATTCGGGTGGTCAGCTCTGGCGTGTCCAGATGCAACACACCCAACTGGGCTTGGTGATTTATATCATCGCCCCGGCCCGAGACCGTAGACACGTCGGTCCGTGAAAACCGCGACGACGCGTGTCGGGCGACGTACGATCTTGGCGACATGCTGGCCGTATCCGGCCCCGAAGAAAGAGCTGAGAAACACCATCATGTGCAGACTGTAGATAGCAATTTTGGCAGAAAGGATGCGGTAAACTCGTGTTGAGAGATGCAATGTATAATTTTGCCCACCAGCTATGTTGAAATGTGTTGAAACAATGCATTACTTGCCATTTTTCTATATACATTCGCTCAGTTCCTTGCAGTTCTTCTGCGTTTCGTGCCCTTGCAATACCGACTTCTCCGAGTCCATCTCTTCTCTCCATGCACGCCACCGGCGAGCGGGGAGCCGGGTGGGGGAGCCGGGTGGCCGGTCCGACCTATCAGCAGTTTCAGGTCATGACATTGATTCTTCTGGAGCGAGATGAGTCCATGGTGTGCCTCGGCGCCCGACTCCGACCTGACCGGACGAGTTGAAGAAATGAATCTGACGATCCGTGTGCGGTCAAGCCGCTGAGAGCATGTGTGCCTGCATGTTGCAAAGATCCACAGTGATCTCCAATTAAACACCAAACGGATCCCTAAGGGATGATCGCAACCTTGTTACTTTTTGGGGCCACATGATCGCATGCATTCCCTGTTCTCCTGGGCAGCGAGGCCATGTGGCATCGATGCCCCCAAGATCGTCAGGGTCACCGGAGGTTGGGATGTTCGGATTCCATGTTTGGGCAGAGCTCTCCAGTAGACTTGGTGATTTGTACATGTGAAGAGGGCTGAAACCAATCCAAATGAGGGGGGGTAGAACCAACAGTCTTGCAAAGGATCCAGGTGTCATAGTGTAGCCATATTGAAACCATCTTCCGTCATTCATGATCCCTATAGGGATCCGTCCAGTCGTACCTTCTCCTCAGCTTTTGGTACGAAGGTTTGGACCCTCCAAACCTGGCACCTACATGACAGTGTCGGTCTCACATCACCTTAGTAAAAAAGAAGACGATCCTTCATCACTAGGGCATGATCCTAACATCACTGCTTGGTCCTCCTCATTTGGACCCTAAGACCCTCTGGCCGGTGACCCCGCCTGGAGCCCAGGGCGGCGATCCTGGCGGGGAGCAGTGGCTTCTTCGTGGCACTCTTCTGGCCCGTGGCCCCAGCGGGGTCTGGATGCTGGAAGAGGCGTGTGTGGCCAAATCAAATCTAATAGTCTCAGCCTTAGAAAGTGGACACATGCCGTAACCAAAGAGCAAAAATTCGATATTCGGATGGAAGATCCATTACTTTTAGCATCTTTTAGCTATATTTGTTCCTTGTTTCGGGACCCAAACACCCAAGAATGGTGTGCAGGGTCGAGAGTTTTTCGTATCGCTGAGGTTTTGGTATCCATCTTTGCTGGAACTGGCCTCCTTGCCTGTGCAGCAGGCCGAGCTTTCCTTCCTTTCTCTCGGAGCCGCTGCTTTGCCGCTGAGCTCGGCGTTCGTCCCGTGTAACTCGACACCTGCCCCCTGCGAGGATCGCGACGACTTAAGGGGCTTGATTTAATGGTGGGGTTGGAGGACTTGGTTTGGAGATCCACGCATGTTTTGGATCTAAGACATGGCTTCCAACTATATAGATGTGTTCCATTGTGTTCCAGTTTCTCAGTTCAGTTGTCCACTTGGACCATGGCGGCAAATTAGATTCTTAGTGCAGGGCTGTCGCGCTGCCCAAAGTATACAGATGCTAAGCTTTTCCTGTTGACTTGAGCCCTTATATAACTTGATTTGCTTGCTTGGGAGAACATCTCAAGTTGGGTCATGACTTATGACTTATGACAGTCATACAACTCGTAGCATGTAGTAGCACACCAGAGCATACCGAGCGGAAACGATCAATGGCAACTCTCAGACGGGGCCCAAGAAATCCCAAATCATGTTCCCACATTTGGTCCAAACCCGAATCATCTAAAATGGTTTCCGCCACCCCAAACATGCAAATTTCTCCAAGCCAACTAACAATTCCAAATTGATTCTTCCTTGCCACCTTGCCACCACTGAGCAGTACTGTAGTGCGACGTGGTCGAGAGGGCGTCGATCGACCAAACGCCACGGCGACCGGTCAAGCAGTGGAACCAGGGCCGCCAGGGTAGTTGAAGATGCTGGTCCCGTTTTCCGGTGTGTCACCTGTGTTCACCCATGACGGTCGCGGCGATTGGTTGACAAACTGACTTGATTCTTTGTTTGGTTGCAACACCCCACAAGTCAGAACAGTTGAACCGGATCCGGTGCTCGGCAGGCGGAACAGGCCACGACGCTGGGACGCAGCTGCGAGGAGGTCGAGGTCGAGGAGGTCGAAGTTTCAACTCCTTATCTTCAGCCAGTGCCGCGGTGCCAATGCCGATGCCGTCGAGTTGTGCATGGCGATGGCGGTGGTGGTGCATGGTGCGGTCCAGTCGTCACCGAGAAATTTCTCCCAGCGAGACGAGACCGAAAACACCTGAAATAATGGAATGAAAGTACAGGTGTTTTTCCAAAAGTCAAGGTCCAGAAGCCATGTGTCAGATGGACCTGGTCTAGGACATGTGTGTTATCATGTGGTTTATTGAGAGATGATGGTAGATATCGGTACTTCACAAAGCACTCTAACTGACTGCCTTTGACTCCCCACCTGTTTGTGCCGTCGTCGTGTTGCTGTCAGGTCATTGGTGGTGTGTTTTCTGGATTCTGTTCTTGTCCCGCTCTCCCAATCTTTGTTATATGGGCAAACCAAAGGCAAACCAGGTAACCATGGGCGCGAGCCAGCGCATTATCCGCTCTCACCTTTCATGGAGGTGGACATGGATGATTCGTACACCCACCCGCCCCGCCCACGCGCGCTCTGCGCAGAACCAAACGATCCTGAAGGTGTAGCGGGCCTTTCCGCGTGAGCAGATGCAGGAAATCATGGCCGCCATGAGGTTCTTGTTTCGTGGCACAGGGCGCAGTCTTGTTGAGTTGGTCTTCTTCCCATTGGCCCATTGGTCATGTTTCCTTTGTAGCGAAGCCGGTCAACCTTCCGTGCCAGCGGCACGCCGCCGCCCAGGAACTGCAGCAGTCCCTTCCGGTGAGTCTTTCCATGGGGCGACTTGGGTGCAGAACAATGATCCGAAACAACCAGCATCACTCAGTTTTTTCATGGTCCTTGGCATGGTTTTCATCACATGCGTCATATACGTAGTGAACAAAGGGGTCTCCGTATCTCAACATTGACCACCCGAACAGGGTTCTGCTGGAAGTAGCCCTGGTTTTGCTTTTGTTCAATATTTTTTCAACTTGGCCCACGGGATTTTTCTGAAACCTCCCAGACCGCGCCGGCCCCCAGACCGCGCCTTCTGAAACCCCGCGCCAGGTCCACGGTGCACTGGCGCGACTTGGACCGAGCACTGCAAAGGGCCAGCGAAGGTGCACTGCCGGAGCCAAAAAGGAGGATGGAAGTGGAAGAGTAAGTGGAAGGTCTGAGTAAAGACTCGCATGAGCATGACCATCAATGCTCAATCCGAATAGCATGGTGAGGTGGAGTACGTTCATCCGAGCTCCATATGATCTTCCATGATGATTTCAGGGTATGTAATGTATTGTAATAATGTACCCTATGTACCATCTCCTGTTTGGGTGTCCAAAGGTTTCGCCTGGACAAAGTATTGCTTAGAATAATTCCATTTTGAAGATCCCGCAACAGAGGAACCTGGATGAACCAGGTATCCAAGGGTATACATAACATCAACGTGTATAGTATAGATACATCATACGTTTACGTGGGTAGTCTGGAAGTTGGCCAAGTGCCAGGGTATGGAACCTTCCGCCGAACGAACACACTTTTTGCATTTGAAGCATCCCCATATCCCTGGCATGAAAAAAGGATGATGGAAGATGTATTTCCCAGTTCCAGGGCAGTAAATCCAGGTCTATCAAGTCACTCTTGAGTTCAGATCTTTGTTCTACCATGTTCTACCTTTTTTCAGGAGTCCAGCATCATCTGAGGAGATCAGATCGGCCTTGCACTATCCTCACCCCAGCGGATGTTTTCTTCGTACAAAACCACACGGCCACCCAAGAAAACACATACACTCCCTGCAGGCCCCTGGAAGACCATTTTCCCTCTACAATCAGGTGGTGCCATCCACTTATGCATGATGATTTCAGGGACTGTTGCTTCCACCTTCCAGACCACCAAATCCACCCTCCTCGGACATTTGTGACTCGGGAGCTCTCCAGGTGCGCTCGCCGCAAGCGCCGCGCGCGTCAGCGCGAGCGCTGCGAGCTTGGCGCCGAAGCTGCCCAGCCGCAGCAGGAGGCGCCGAAGCAGGAAGCGCGTTTGGGGATTGCCGGATCGCCGGATCGGCTTTCAGAAACACGGTGGTAAAGAGGATGTTCGTGTCCCGTGCAGCTCGGTGGTGTTGCATGATGGTTGCTTGATGGCTGTTGGTTATTTTTGTATATGTTTGCGACCTTCTTTTGATGGAACATCACCTGGAGTCTCTTTTTTGCAATCAGTACTGTATGCACATGTTTGAAGCATTTTCTAGAGTGCTTCAGAGGATTCAGTTGAGTTGTATGTTGAAACAGCCCCCGAGTTTGGCATCTTGTCATTCAAAGCAGCACGCAACTCGCTTCGATGCAGCATTCAACGGCTCAAAATCTTTGACCAGATACCCTTGCTTTGCGACATATTGCGATGGCAAAAGGCATGAAGTTTGCTGTCCTCGTGGCCCTTGGGGTTTGCAAGGCAGAGTCGGACGTGAGCAAGGCATTCGAAGACTTCATCACGAAGTTCGAGAAGAGCTACGCCACCAAGGAGGAGCCGGACTCGTTCTCCATTTGGCTTTCCGAATGGCGCAGATGGGCTCCAAGTATATACCTTGAGAGGGTAGGGACTGAACTGGTCAGTCACCCTGCCAACCAGTACCTTATAGACGGAGATAGTTGGACATTGGAGCCCTACCGCAGCCATCCTATATTGAATGAAGGCTAGTCTACAGGTGACCAGGCTAGTCAATGGCTGGTCAAGGTACACCAGGTTTGTCCGTATCTTCCCGCTGGACCTACCCAGACAGTGGATAACCTTTAACCTTTTTGGGGGATTGGTTTACTAAGTATGAACAGATTGAAGATGGTTATAAGTTATAACCATTTACTGTATATATAACCTATTTTTCAAGGGAAACAGAAACAGCAGGAGTCAGTGGATGTTGGTTTGAAGATGTTTGAAGAGAACGGAATTGGACTTGGTGCCAGACGTTCCAAAGTCGCTCCAAATCCGATCTGAAGCTGCAGGTGAGACTCGTCTCCTAAGGATGTCGTTGGATGTGTCCTTGCAACGCCACTGAAATCCTGACCATCTAAACTTTGTCCAGTTTCGGGTGGTGTCAGTGGTGTCCAGGTCTTTCGCCAAACCCTACCAGCCCATGATACTGCTGAAGCGCCCTGCTCAGCCAGCTATGCTCTTTGTGGAGCGCCCAATCGCTCCCAATCTGCATGTTCCACCAAAATGCCAGGAGCGCCAGAAGCGTTTCGACATTTTCACCTCCAATGTGCAGCACATCGAAAAGCACAACGCTGCAGGGCACAGCTATCAGCTGGGCATTACTGCCTTTACGGATCTCAAGCCCGAGGAGAGAACTGCAGAACCTTTCTTGGCGGAATCTTTTCCAGCTGCTTCCTTTCGGGGTCACCTGGCTGGATATCTCCGCACTACGTAAACTCCAGACAGGGCACCCCGACAGGAAGCGCTAGGACCCTGCCTGTGTTGTCCTTTTCTTTGCGCACCCTGCCTGTCAAGTAAAAGGTCACTGGAACTCACACATCTCAACCACACGGGTATACGTGGACTGAACACCTTCTGTTGTGGAGGATTTCAGGGTCTTTTAATGGGGCCATGGATTCCACTTTCATGTCGGTTCCACAAAGTTTACACTCCCTGGAACTAACATGGAAGTGGAGAATGGCCCCGAAAAGAAGACCATTTTCCACTACAAACAGATCAAACAGTTGGTTTTCCACTTCCATGTTAGTTTCAGGGAGAGCTTTTGGAAAGGCTTCTACACATTCGTGTGACTATGTGACGTGTCTCAAGCATATGCTTTGAGGTCCCCGTGAGCAGGTGCAGGGGTGGGCGGGTGACAGTGACGAAAGCAGGGGGTGAAAGCAGTTGCAGGAGTTTGCCTTGGACCACGTGGGCTGCATGACCAAGTCTAAGGAGCCTTGGTCTGGTTTGCCCTACCTGGGACGCGAGGAGTTTGTCAACAAGACCCTGGGACAAATGGAATCAGAAAGTGTTGCATTGCTGTTGGACCGTTGCTAGTTTATATCCGGTTGTTTTATTTGTTTCAGAAAATAACATAATCTATCACTCTGAAGTATATAGTTGTTTGCTTAAATAAGCTTGTTGCTGTTGTTGTTGCTGCTGCTGCTGTTGTTGTTGTTGTTGTTCTTGTTGTTGTTTTCTTATTCTGTAAAAAGAGCTGCTTTTGGTTGGTTTCCCTGCGCGTGCTCAACCACCCCTCGTCGGCCTTCAGCCTTCAGGACCAGCTTGCCCAAGTCGTTGGACTGGGTGAAGAAGGGTGCGGTCACTGACCCCAAGAATCAGGGCAAATGTGCCCTGGGCCGGTGAAAGTTCGAACGTTCGATGTTCGACATGGAGACATGTGGACATGGCGAGAATCGCCTTCTTTTTGAAAGTAACAACTATATAACTCATGTTTGAGACATGAGATCTCTGTTAACTGTTAGGCCTTCGATTTGAAGAAAGAACTACGGTTGATGGAAGGTCAAACCCCAAAAGGGATGGCACGTCCGGGCAGGAGCTATGATTGAATGATTGTTTCAATATATTGTTCGATATTTGTTTACTTTGCATGGCATCCTGAAGTGTAAGTTTGCATGGAAGGTGTTTTCGTGTTCATTGTCGTTTTCAGTGGTTATTTGTCTATATACTCATTTAGGGCATTTCATGGTGAATGTCGACCAGTAAGAGAGGCATCCCTCCCCAAACTAGGAAGAGTAGATGAACCGTGGTGCTCTTGACCCGATATGATTGATGCGGCAAGCAGTTGTCGTGGGGAGAAAAGAGCGAGCAATTAGACATCCGTGTAGCTCAGCCTTTCGTGGAGCCTCAGGTGGTTCTTGCTGGAGTTTTTCCACTTCCGGAGCTTTGGAGGGCGCCTGGAAAATTGCCAGTGGAAAGTTGATTTCTTTGAGTGAGCAGCAGCTGGTGGATTGCGCCAAGAACGGCTCCTTGGCCCGGATTCGTACGTGCGGAACTTCAAAGGAGTCATTTAGAGCTCCCGAAAGCTTTGATTAAAGACACTCCACATCAGGTGCTTCCCATCGTGCAATATTAGGGTTTGGTGGGAAGAATCCGGAAGACATCCCGAAGTTCACTCGAGGTTGCCCATCATACCAAGCTTGGTGGGAATATCATGGAATATCCATGAATGTCCGATTCCATTGAAACGTGTTCTCCTGGAAGTAGTTTAGACGTGTTTAGACATCCTTGGACCATGGATGCGTTTCCCCAAATATATTGTTGTTCCCCTACATCCATGTGCTTACCATCCAGCGACGACATCAATGAGCTGGGTAGTGTTGGAAGACACCCGGACTTTGTTTTTTTTGCTGAAGACATAAGGAAATATGGGATGCCAGGGAGGCTCTATGGACTTGGCTTTCTCCTACCTGGAGAAGCACAACGTCTGCACAGAGCAGAGCTACCCCTACTTGGCGGCACAGGCTGAAACGATGCATCTGTAGACAAGTGCAGGAGTTCCAAAGGTGTGGTTGTTGATCCCTGATTGGACACTCCGACCCTCCAAATCCGCATCCCTTTTGGAACTGGGTCGTGTGTTTCTGGCATCCTTGGCTTCATTGGCGGATCTCATTGTTCAATTCACTGGCCCGGGTGATGTTGAGTCAATGTGCCCCCCCCGGATTCGCCGCTGGAATCGAAGCGGGTGTGGGGTCGGACTGGGTCTCGAGTCCACAGCCACACCACGCAAAGGCTTTCAACGTGTGGGGAAGCAGAAACCGTGTTTCTTCGCCCGTTGCAGGGCACCTGCCACCAGACGAACTGCAGTGTGGGCGTCCCGAAAGGGTCTATCGTGGGCTTCAAGGATGTCTCTGCCAAGGACATGAATGCTCTGATGCAGGCTGATGCGGGTTGTCACATTCCTGTCACGTTAGCTACCTGGACGCTCGAGGCCTCTTCATCTACTCTGAAGTTCTAAATGGCTGAAGAAGGGCTCATGTCAAGTCACTATTGATCAATTGCAATATGTTCACCCCTGAATAACAAACACCATGACCAAACTACTCTAATTAACCCGAGCCAAACATGCAAACGCTGCAAACCCATTATCCGACTTCATAAAATAGATTATATAATAGTTAGTTACCAGAACCACCTAGCACCACCACAACCACCACTCTCCATGCGTGTGTTATACCCCATGCATGTTGGACTCCACCTATGGCAGAGTTGAATCTCGCAAGTTCTTCGCCGATGCCTCCTCATCCCTCGGGTAAGCCTCATAATTTGGCTAACTTGTTCTTTTTTGCCGATGCTCCTTTCTTCCTTTCTCAACCAGTAGTATGTGAACATTAAAGTTAATCAATCAAAACACAAGGGTTTCAGTTAAACAGTTAAACATGAAGGGGTTTCAATTCAATATGAAAGAATATCAGGACATGTCAGCGGATTCATTTGAGGGAGTGACCAGACATGTTTGTTTGAAAGTAACGACACTGCTTTTCTTCTTCTAGATTGTACGTTTGGATGCATTTGGACGAATCAATTTAGTGCATATCCGGAAATCCTTACGTGAGAAACACATATCACATAGTGCCACATGTTAAGTTGATAGAGGTTCAGCTCAGCCTGACTTTGGACATCACAACAAAAATTGCAGCGACCTGTCGCAGGATGTCCAGTCACCTAAACCGCGACGCGAGGTTTGTTTGACCTGATTTCTCCTATTTCTACAGGCACTGGATCCTGTGAGGCACGCAAAGACTGAGGACCCAGTCAGTCCAGGTCTAGTGTTTTTCATGTTTTCTTCCAACATCAGTCAGTGCAAATGGTATTCCGTATTATTCCTTTTCATCTTTGGAACCAGCCAAATGGCCAACATGTTTCATAGTTGGAAGATCTAGGTATACAGACTATGCTGCATATCTGGGTCATCCCCAAATCTCGAGAGTGCTGTGTTCACTTTACAGCCTTTACAGCCTTAGATGCTCCAAACTCCGGCCATCGAAAGCCCGCCCCTCCGCCCACCCCGCCGGATCCCGGAGGGGCTC